CCTAAAAATGAAAAAGATAATTTAAAATGAAGGCTCTACAACAACAACAACAACAACAAAACTTTAATCCAGTCGGCTACATGAATCTACATGAATCCTTTTTCTCCATTACGTCCAAAAAATCGACATTTTAGTCTCAAAATCAATAAAAGTGTCAAATTAATCCGCTCACTCTTTTAATATGGGTTGAAATAATCCCCAAGAGAGACTATTTTAGCCTCTATTAAAAAAGTTTGGGGATTAAATTAGCCTTTTTTATAATCAAGATGTCTATTTTGATTCAGTAATGTGAATCGAGTAATTACTTACACAGTTCATCGAGATAAAAGGGATTTTTCCTCTTGAAGAAGTCTGGAACAAAAGCAAAATACCCTTCAAGAATAATGTGAGTCAATCCAGAAAATGCCCACCAGCACATAAGTAGCCTATCCGTCTTTGATAACTTGCAAAAGCGCCCTAGGAAAAGAAAATAATTGAAGTTTCTTTTATGGATAGAGATCATTACGAGCACCATCCTAAACCATTAAAACATTGTCTCTGAAAAAAATTAAAAACAATTGCATGCAAAAAAAAATACAAGTTTAGCACTCTTTAAAATAAAAGTAGAAGGTTCCAAACCTGGATGAGAAAGGTGGGAGGATTCATGTTTAATTTAACATTGCGTAGTAAAACTTGTGCCAGAATCAGTTATACAAATCTTAAATTTGAAATTAACTACCAAGTAGTTCTTCAAAAGCAAAATAACACAACCTATTGTGGTCATAGAGTAAACTAAGGGATATTTAGGATATTGTTGTAAGTTCACAAAGCTGACTCATGAGCCAGCTAAGGCTCCACTTGAGCTTGGATCGATAAAGGGCTCATGAGCCGAGCTTGATAAGTTAATAAACCAAGCTCAAGTTTGTCCTGACTCGCCTCATTAGCTTGTTAAGCATATATTTATATAAAATATACTCAAAATATATTAAAATTCAAAATTTGAACTTCAGATTATTAAAAATACTTAAAATATTATATTTTATAGGTATATCAAATGATTTCTTATTATTAATCATGTAATTGATCATTCTATTTGTCATTTTATTATAATACTAGTTTGAATTAACATTATTTTCTTTCTTTCTTAATAAACAAGCTGGCTCGAGATCCCGCTTAACTGTATAATTAAGTTCAACCTAGAACTCGATTAATTAATCAAGCTCAAGCTCAAGCTCAAGCTCAAGCAAAGGGCTGATCAAACTCGACACAACTCTTTACTCCCCGAATCTTGGACATCACCTATAAAATGACACACCACAAAATAACCCAATGGTGATGAGTAATAGGCGATGGTTGACTAATATGTCACACAACAATGATGTGCAACAAGTTCACCCAATGGCGGTGAAAAAGTAAAGAATTGATTAAATCTAAACTAACATTAGATTTATTGCATATGGTAAGGAAATACTAGAGAAGTACTTGATGCGAGGATTATAATAAAAATAAAATATTATAGGTTGAGTTTGATCTCTTTTAAGTATGGAATACAAATCTTTCGTAAAATTTTGAAGACATAGGAAGAAAAATTTACAGTAAAGATAAATTTTAGACAACAAAATTTGAGAACAAAAAAAAAATGTATGATCATGATGACTATAAACAAATGAAACTTAAAAGTCATAAATGATTGAACGGCACATGAAAATTAAATACAAGAGAGAATTAATGTCAGTATTGCACAATTTTCTATTCATGTGATTAATGAAAAAGTTCAAAGAATGAAAAAGGGATATTGTTAAAGTTCTCGTCATTTTTAAAGGGCACATAAACCAGTATCATGGGAATTGATTTAGAGAGAGTAAAATAGAAAAGATGTGTTAAAAGGTATGTTCAAGTTAATAAAGTCCTATAGAATAAAAAATTAATTAGCATTAGAAGTAATTGTGGGATAAACATTTTTTATTAGAATAGAATCACATTAATGTTTATCATTAACTATGTGCCTATCTATATTGTTTATAGAGATGATTAGCCAATATATTAAAAATGAAGCATGTGTACCACAATGAGTTCTCATCATAGATGACAGTTTTGATGAGTGATACATCTTTTGAATAAATTTAAAATAATGAGAAAGAAAAAAGAAAAAATAAATAAAGATATAAGACTTGAAACTAATACACAAAGACTAGGTACATAATATGCAATTCTATTAATGAGGTCCGGATTACTATAAATCAAAATTATTGAAAGCTCATGCCGATTTCTACGAATGATGAATTTAAGCACATAGAATCTATCAAAATAAGATTGAAAATATTTATAAAAACATAATTTCTAAATTTAAAGCCGTGTGTATAAGTTAGAAGTATACGCAAATACTATTTTACAAAGTCCAACATCGAGAATTAAAGGTAATATTTTCAAAATTGCAAACAGGCAAGAATATAACAAGAGTATGAATGTTAGAAAACAAAGATACCAAATAAAGCCGAGTTAAATAAAGACAACATAGAATTTTAATATTTTACATAGAACAAAACTAGTAATGATGGTATGAAAAAAGTTAGAATAGAACAAAAGTGATGCCAATGTTTTAGTTCGAAGTTTAAGAAATTGAGGAAAATCACACGTCTAGATTAGACTAATAATTTTTTCTTCTGACCCATGCATTAATTTAAGATGTTTATGATTTTTGCTTTTCATATGCAAAATATGATTCCTTGCTATAAGGCTATTATAATAAATTAGGATGAATTGCCCTTCTCAATACAAATAATCCTTCATATTGATATGAATGAAATGTATCTATGCATATTATTTCTCTATTACTTGTCCTATACATTTTAATGTTTCTTACAAATATATATTATTTGCATAGACAGATGAAAAAGAAAATGCTATATAGATATGCTTGTATGTATAATTTGAAAGATAAATTCATTCCCTTACGTTACTAGTTTGGGACGCTAATGTCTCAGCATATTTATAACTTTAACATTTTAACCTCAACCAACAATAAATTTATGAGTCACAACCCATTATGCCGACAATATATGCATCCACCAGCGGTTACATTGGTTCTTTTCACCTCAAATAAAAGTAAATTTATGAGTTACCCCTCATTGTATAGACAGAGGATATATCGACTATAATGAGCTACATTTATATATATAAGGCGATCCTGAGATGGATGCATAAGTATATACTAAAGTATAAGCTTTGATAATATAAAAATAGCACGCATTGAAAATCTTATGTTAAGTTGAATGTATGATTTCATTATTGTACCTAAATCTGACTAAGAAGCAATGTTTATGATCATAATTGTTATCAAAATAAAAAGCTTAAATTTATGATTTTTTTATAGCATAAAAATGATAATTAACATTCATTTTATTTAATTTTCTCACATAGTTGTTATAATTTAGAATCGCAATATATCCATTGAGTTAAATATGTATACTAGAGCGGTTGCTTGCGTTAGAGCAGAAGGAGGATTGAACAAGTATTTTCCTATTTCAGTTGGATAACATCAGGGATTGGATTTAAGCCCATATCTTTTTTCTTTAGTTATGGATGCTCTTACTGGACATTTACAAAAGTATGTATCTTAGTGTATGCTTTTTGCATAGGATATTCTTCTTGTGGATAAGACTAAAGAAAGAGTTCAGGAAAAACTTGAATTATGGAGGTCTACATTAAATTAAAGACATTCGTTTGAGTAAAATTAAAACAAAATATATGGAATGTAATTTTAGTAGTAGATCTAGTGGAAGAGTTGTAACTATGTGCGACCAATCACTAAAATGTGTAAACGTTTTAGATATATCGGATCTATTGTACAAGGTGATGATGATATAGATGGAGATGTTATTAGTAGAATTCAACTTGGTCGGTTGAAGTGGAGGAATACATCAAGCATATTGTGCGATCGAAAAGTACAGCTTAGACTTAAAAGAAAATTTTATAAGATGGTGGTGAGACCCGCAATACTATATGACACAAAATGTTGGCCTGTAAAAGAGAAACATACAACTAAGTAAAGTGTTGCTGAGATGAGAATGCTTAGGTGAATGTGTGGTTTGACACTAAAACAAAAAAAAGTGAAACGAATGTATTTGTGAAAGGGTTAGTGTAGCTCCAGTGGCAGACACGATTAGATAGAGTCGTCTTAGATGACTTGGTCACATTAAAGATCGACCATCTGATGATCTAGTTATGATGGTAGATGTTTTAAATTTGACTTATGTTAAGAAGAATAGAGGTTGAACTAAAAAGACTTGGGCATAATGTATAAAAAAATATCTTAATTTATTAGAATTAAATAAAAATATGACGCTCAAATTCATGTAGCCGGCCCCAATTAGTGGGATAAAGGCTTGTTTTGTGTATATTTCCATTGAGTCATATGTTTATAACTCATCTCATTAGTTGATTAATATTTTTCAAGACGATCCCTAATATAGTTAATGGATAAAGAAGAGATTTTATTGACAACAATAGCAATAAATTCCACATACCTGTATACTTTTAAAAATTTTATAGAATAATTATTTACTTTCCCTTCACATATTTATTACTGTGTAAATTATTTTATATCACGCTGTATCATGATAAACTAAAATTGTTTTATTAGTAGTTCTTTTGAGATGTTGAAATTTTTATATGAAGAAAAAAGTTGGTGTCAAATTAATATATTATTTAGAAGGCATGCACAATTTTAAACTCTTTCAACCATATGTTACATTGAGCTTTTGGGCTAGGTAATATCATGTAACACTTAATAAGTGAAAAAAAAGTTCGATTAGTAAAGGATCAAAAAATAGCAAGGATACATCTAATTATGATGATTATAATGATGAAATCATCAAAATGATTTAAAAAGTAAAGGCATAGAGTACATGTTGACAACAAAAAGGCAAGCCCTAATTTAGTGCTGCAGTTAGCAACTAAAACATGCCGCACATAAATAGCAGGGAAAAAATATTGTACTTTATATATCAAGGCACAACTTAGAAAGCACACTCTATAGCAATAACCTACAACAAAAAAACTTTGTGTGGTCACGATACAAAACAAAATCATAAATTTAAGTATTTCAAAGATGAAAGAAAAACTTCAATGAAATGAAAAGGTATGGTAAAATGTAAAGGCTCCTTTCTTAAGATGTACCTACACATTGTGCTACTAAGTTCCCCAAAGAGAGTAACAATAAAGAAATAAAAAAGATAAATCTCATAAACAAATTACTTGGGTCCTTTAATAAGATTTTAGGTTAAATTTATTAATTCAAATACCCTTACATCTAATCATTAAAAATAGTGAACATAAATAAACTAATACAAGATCGCATCATAACTAGACCAGAAGCATACATCATGTTAAGAATGGAAGTTCACATACCATACAATAATAATAATAATAATAATAATAATAATAATAATATGAACAATAATATAATCCCAATATCTTATATTCTTCTACATAATCTGGTTTTATTAGTAATTTCACCATCCTCAAACATGAGATAAACATATGAATTATCAATAACTACTACAACCACAATATCCAATCTACCATCATCAGGATCATCAATCTTATCTCAAATCTTTAGGATCTCCTATAAAAGTTAGGCTTGCACAATAATTATTTTTTGGAGCTAGAATTTTTGAGAGACTACTTCTTAAAGAATGCAACCTAGTTTTATATTGGTTCTACATGCAAATATATTCGTCTAGTAGGGTCTATGTGTCATTTATTCACCCTATTCACATCAACAATCACATTTCTATCGCTTATAGTGTCCCAACCATAACATAATTTTTTCTTTTTTTTTTTTGTTTGGTGAAAGAGTCAATTAAGTTGAAGATTAAGGGGTTGTTTGTAGATAATCCAATTTTTTTGTAACAGTTGTCATAAGACTGTTGTGGAAAAAACTAATATTTTTTAAAGCTATTATGAGTTATAAATTTTTTATTTCTGAAAAAGTCATACAAATTTCTTATAAAAATTACATTTTACAAGATCTGATTTTCAAAAGAAACTTTTCACCATAAAGCACACTTACCCGTAGCATAGCGGTTGAGGGTTTAGTCTCCCACCGTGAGGCGATGTGTTCGAATTGCGCACATTGCCCTTTGGGCTCACCTTGAAAGGTGAAGCAACAAGAAAACTACTTCACACAAGTAAAAGCTAGGCTTTGATTTAATGGCTGTTCTAGACTAGTTCTTCCCATTTGGCCTGTTAAAATAGCTTATCCTGCTACTTTTCCTCAGGCTAATCCCCCATCCCTCCTCATACCAAAACATACCAAAATAAAACACACACACACACACACACATATTCATAGAAAATGAAAAATGGAATTAATCTTGATTAAACTCTGAAACGGTATGTACTCCTTTGTACTATTAATCCCCTCTTGGCTCAAGCTAAACTCGAACCCAATAAAACTTGCAACAAATTCCAACCCAGAATCCAAAAAGCATTGGCAACCCCAACTGCAATCCTTCACATACAGAAAGCAACTTCAAAGTCCAATCTGACAAAAATAACAGTTTCAAATGCTGAAAGCTTGAGATTTGGTCAACGATCTCACAGAAGAAAACTTCCACATATTTTCCAGCGCCCAAGCGTAAGCCAAACAACTTTCCATTCCATCATCGTAAAACCTAGTCAAGTTTCATAAGAATGCATTGCTCTTCTACTCTTCCAGCTTGCACAGACACTAACATGGAGGTACAAGATAGAAAACAAACCATGGAATTCTGATCTCCAAGCAATGGCAGCAAGTACATTTCTTTAACGCACATATGGTTGATACTAAGGGAAAAGAGAAAACGAAAGAGAGCCCAAATCGCGGTCACAACGAAGGAAATAGACCGTGGAGGTAAAAGAAACCGTGGAGCTCAGATCTCCAAGCAAAGGCAGCAAGTTAATTACTTTAACGCGCATATGATTGACAGTAAGGGAAAAAGGAAAACCTGAGAGAACCCAAATTGCGGCGACAATGACGACAGATGAACCGAGATAGGGCAGAAGGATGTCGATCTGTGATAAGGAAAGGGGGACATAACCCGGAAGTTGGAGGTCCCTGGGAATGTAGGGATGCTCGGAGCTCGCCATCTTTACTCCGACTCTGCTGGCCGTCTTCTTCCGCTAACCCAAAACAGTCGATTTGGTGAAAAGTAGCCATATTTATTAGGGGCGACGCCATCTTTCTCTTTCCGATGTCAATTCAAGCAATACTTCATTTTCAGTTTTGATTGGAAAATCTTGACCATGTATTTCAAAATTTGGCTTTACATGTCTCCTAGTAATCATAATTTGAGAAATTTGCAGCTATTTAATTATTTAAAAATATGTCTAAAAATGTTGTTTTTGGAAAAAAAAAAGCATTTTTATGAATAAAAAAATTATTTATTTAAGTTCATCTCAAATAGCATATGTTCAAACAAGTTTTAAACCATGTTTAAATCTTATTCGAATAAGATTGAAAATCAAAGTTTAAATGCATCTTAAATGATGTTTGAATAGAGGTTAGAACCTTAAACAATGGTGAGCATGGTTTAGTAATGGTTCAAATATGAATGAAACATAACTCAAATTTAATTTGAACAAAGTTTGAACTTGGTTTTAACAAAGTTCAAACTTGATTTATCCATAATATATACATATAGTGCATGTTAACAATCTCTATACATTGGACTACCAGTGATTTATCACATACTCATAGTGAGTGTAATCACAATAGCTAAAATATAATAGATTACAAGGTAGAAAAAATATGGTGCAATTCAACAACAATGGTGCAACAGAATGCAATTCAAATTATATAACATAATATACACAAGCCAAGGTGATGTGGGAGCTCCCTACATGACCATTTCCACGACTTACGCTATAGTTAAGCGATTGCTCTACGAATTGGGTCAGACGCAAAAACCTCCCAGAAACCTAAGACTAGTTAAGAACATCGAATTTAGGGCCGACCGACCTTTCTTACGTGGATGTGATGCATCCTTTCAATAGTGGGTTTAAATCTAGTTACTTATGGCTCATACATTTGATTCAAGTGTTCAGGTTTTTAGGTTTTTTTTTTTTTGTATGTTTATGTTCAGAACAACCGTCGTCTTCTAGCGTTCCTTTGAGAACTATATCCAAAGGAAAGAATGTGCTCCGATTGTAACTCTTCTCAGGTGGCGACTGCCCAAAATTGAATGGTGCTCCGACTATAGTTCGATCACTTGGAGATATTTATCCTCAATTTCCCATCCTCCGCAACCCTCCCGTCACCGCCTTTTCTCACTACTGGAACCATCAGAAAACACTCCTATTGCCCTCAATAGTCAACCCTCCATATTTGTTGTCCTTTCTCGCCCAACCCTCCTATCTGTTATTGACCACTATTTCAACTCTCCATCATTGATGTCATCACCCAGGCGGCCTTCCCATGTCACTCCCTGATATTTGCTTGATGTCAGCACAGGGAAAACATCCGCCTTGATGTTTTCTACATGCCAATTGTCTTTTCCACCTCCGCGTCACCTTCCAAATCCTCACCGACCACCACTCCCATCTTTGGGATACACTCTAGCTGTGTTTGTTTATCTTGCTATATTTTTCCTTCAAGTGTATAAGTTGTAAGTGCCTATTTCCATCTAGTAATATTATTTATTTTTCCAGTTACGGTTTGAGTTATTTCAGGTATCACAAAGAATATAATTCGAGAGTCATATCATAACCTTCATAACAAAATAAATGTATTGAAATAACGCTTAGGCATATATATATTTTTTTGTCTACGTGCGCCACTGTTAAAGATGACAATGTATTAAAGGTTTAAGACAGATCGTACGCACCATGTCATAACCTACAATAACATACATACTATACTATGCTGTGATACGCAACATTATATTATGCTATAATCTCATAGTATTTCATACGGGTATATGGAACCATAACGCCAAATTCCTATGAATTTACATATTTAACACCTAAGCTTCATTTTTTCCATTTATACCACGACCCATAGCTCGCTGTCAATACTACGACCCATAGCTCGCCATGAATTCATCCATATTCAATTATCTTTACCTTTAAATCACCATTTTTATGACTTAGTATCATGAACTCCACCAATCTCTGTTGACACTGAATATCTGAAAATAAAATGTTTGAAACTCACGAGAAAGCATTTGCAAATGCAATTCTACAAAAGATTTAAAAAACCACAAAGTCCCTAAAATGAAACTGTAAGTATTGTTTCACATTTCAAAAGTATACCTGCAAAGTGAGAAATTTGCAGACATTTAGTGCGGTCTAACAAATTACCCCCATACTGTGACAAAGAAAAGAATCTTCAAATCTATAAAATCATGATACATGTACATCTGCATAACAGAATTTCAGACTACAGACGCGATACTACGACAGCAAAGACACTCTCTCTTGTCTTTCTATATCAACATTGCTGCCATCATCTTCTACCAACGTCGGCTCGCTCCAACTAGCAGTTCTTGAAGAGCCAAACTTTGCACGATCGAAAATGGTCGGCCTGAAGCCCGTCGCTCTCGCAGACACCATAGGCATTACAAGCACTGAAGATGCATTGATTGATTCTTCACTTAGACCAACTGATAAAGAGCATGTAGCCTGCAAGAGGATAAAAGCTGTGGAGACTGAAAAAAAATGATCTTGGTTAATAATTATAGTTCCATTTCTAAAGAAAACGGACCTTAGCTTTTGCAAAGAAGGTCCTTGCATTCTCCAAAATTGCACGTGTAGATGATTTAAATAAATTTGTTTCAGGCTCCTGTGTTAATGTGGATGAACTGCTGCTGAGACAATCAGTATTTGTGTTACTAAAGGAAGGCCATTTTAGACAGATTTTGGCGCAAGACAAAAAAAGAACATTTTGATTTGTGTATGCAACATCTAATATATACTAAAACAAACACAAGAAGAAGAAGAAGAACAATCACCAGTTTACATCAGGTGCAATACTTTGAGCAGATGAAGAAATTAAAGAATAAGAATCTTTCGTTTCATCGCCTGGAAGATATAGTGAGAATTAAGCAGAATAAAAGCATAGAAATAAGATAGAAAAATCCTCGATCGATACCTTTAACATCATCAGGTGCCAACAAGGTAATGCCTATGAATACAAATGACATGCCCATAAGGAACATCGTTATCCGTAATGCATCAAACACCTGAATTTAAAAATGGTATTTAAATTTATAGAATAAGCTTCAGTGAAGTGTCAAAATAGACTCCTGACCGTTTACTTGGGGCCATTTTAGTTATAGAGTCTATAAAACTGTCAGATTAATCATCAACTTTTTAAAATCAATAGTCCTTTTGGAGATTAATTAAACCCATATTAAAAATGTCAGGGGACTTAATTAACACTTTTATAGAATGTGAGACTGAAATGAACGCCTACGAAGAGACAAATGATTCTTTTGAAGCTTTATATAGGATCTGCTTCATTGAACATAAGTGCACATCCCTTGGCATGAGTTTATGCATTTCTGCCTCTAATAACGCATCTAAATGTGTTCTACCATGCGTGAATTACTAATAATTTATGAGCGGAAGTTAAGGCAGGCTTACCTGATATTCTTGGAAATATATAAATCCTGTACAGATGGAGAAGAAAGTCCATGCAATCTGAAACATGGGGACAATAAGGATTGCATCGAAGAGTGACAACCCTTCATTTAATCTTGCCAACTGAGAAAAAGGGAGATCAAAAAACATAATTTAGAAAAATAATTTACTAGAACGTTGCAGCATTAGTTATGGCATTATTAAGTTAAATTTACCCAAAACCCAGCTGTGCTGAAAAACAACAAAAGAAGGGAGTATGTGAACAAGCTATGAAAATGATAATTGCTGCTCATGGTTAGCCTAAGCATGTTAGATCTGGAAAATAACAAAATAACCAGTCAAAATGACTCCAAGAAAAACTAGATCACAAAAGATAAGAAAGATGTCTTAAAAACATAAATTTGAAATTCCCACTAAATGAACAACTTACAGTGACTTTGCAAATAAAACTGAGCAGGATCCGATTGCACCGGACACAATGGCATAGGAAAAGGGCAATATCATTCTCCAATATGGGTTAAAATCATTCCCATACACTGACAGACAGGCTGCTCCTTTCCTAGCAGTTCCATAAATCATTCTTACTTAGAATTATCATACTTCTCACAAATAAATCACAGGAAGATCAGATAAAAACCAAACAAAATACAGAACTTTAAACTTCAGTACAACAAACAAACAAAACATCACCTGTACATATAGTGATTTATTATAACCACCACAATCAGCATCAGACAATAAAGAAGGAAAACAAGATTGCTATACTTCTCTGCAAGTTGCTCTGACTTCTCTGCAAGTTGCTCTCTGCAAGTTGCTCTGGAGTGTAAACTGGCAAAATTAAAAGCCATCAGGCAATCTGTTGATAAGTTTATCATTAATAGTAGAAATTACATGCAAAAAACCTGAATTGTGTATCACTGAAATATCTCTGCATGTATAAATATGAAAGCAGCAAAAGGCAATTTACTACTACTGGATAAGAATGAATAAATTAAACCAAAGGTATACATTATTGTTAATAAAGTTAAGAGTTGATACCAGGTGATTGGTGATTGCCAAAAGAGACTAAGAAAATGTTGCCAAAAACAATAAAAAATGTGGCCGTCAAAACCCTGCAAATAATTTAAGATTATAAGTTCAACTTTTGCAACAAATTGTTATCTTTAAACAAGTCTTTTCTTATGAGTTTATGGCATGTCAAGAGTAGCATACTTGATAGTCACGGTCTTACTCAGTACAAAGTAAGAAAATGCAATATTAGATACAAACTGAATTGAACCCAAAGCAGATACAAACTGAATTATATTAGATACAAACTGAATTGAACCCAAAGCTGCAAGAAGGGACTGCAAAAGAGAGGAAAAAAATGTAACAGGTTAACTACTATATTTCCAGCTTATTGCATTTAATAGAAGGAACGTGACATATGATAAAGAAAACAAAAAACTTTTTCAGACAATGATATAACCTAATCTATAGAATTTTATGAGGAACAGCAAGAACAAGACAGTTAATTCAACATAAAAAAAAAAAAAATAACAAGCATTAACCATCCATTCTTATATTGGAGAGTTTGAATAACATAAATCAGCACGTGGATAATGAACTCTCAAATTTATACAAAAGAATTACTACCCTATAGTAAAGAATCTCATGCTATTTGTGATAAAATTGCACTTTAATCCCCCCTATTAATTAATGCAATAATTTGATCCCACATTCTCGAGTCAATATTCGCTTTTTGAATTTTGTGGCTGCATGCCTATGATATCATTTAATATTTTCTTTGAGTAATTTTGCAAGGTTTTACAAAAAAAAGTATTTGGCTACCTTTTTTGGATTATACTTTTCAATACATAGAACACAAATTTATGTTTTAAGAAAACAGAAGCACAATGAAAGTGATGAAAATTTTTCAAGGAAAAATAATTCTGTTGGCTTTCAACATTACTTCATTGTCTACTGAAGGAAAGTTTCAAGAAAATACCACACTCGTCAATTCTAATGAATGGGAAGCTAAAGTTGATAGAGTAATAAGATGAATAGAAATTTTGATGTCAAAGGATTAGAAAGGACAGGGTTAGGCCAACAAACACATGACTAGAAATTATGCAATCATATTTGCTAAATCAAATTAACTCCTACAACACTCAATAAAAACAAATAGAGAAAGGTGATTTATAAAATAGACCTGAAATTGAAGGTGATGGTGATGAGTATGATATAAATAAAGACAGGAGCAAACTTGAAAATCAACTGATAATTAATCTAGTTCACCCATATCCTGAACAAATTTTGCGTGCTTAGGAGTTAAAATAAAAGGAAGGTCCATGTTGGGCTATATATACAAGTGAGGGTAAATCATGTGTGGCTACTTTCTCAACAAAATATTTTTCATCCATCCAATATGAGACTAAACCAAATACTCTCATGTACCTTAATCTTCCCCTTACACGAGAGCTTTCTAAATCGGCTGTCAATCCCTTTAAAATTAAAATTAACAAGCATAAACTAATATGCATCAAGATTCACTTAATCAAGTGGAGCCTACAATGGAGAGTCTCTCGTGCTTGGACTTGGTTTAATCATGATAGAAGTAAGCTCTATTAAAGCTATAAATCATATAAGCTCAATCACAACAAAATCATCAAATTTAATACCACTTGTAAAAGAGTGCCATCCAAAGATTGCTAAAGTTGGGCCAAAAGCATCCGTTGCCAAATCCAATTTCAGAAAAAAAATTTAAGCATATAGCGACGACCAACCTCTTGTTATTTTAAGACGTATCTTTCACATATTCAATAAGTGAATTAACATGTGCCATAATAACTACATAACGAAATTATATTGTATGTTATATTAGTTAGACAACTTACAAAATCTCAGAAACTCATGTAAATGATTAATCAACATATCAGAAATTTGAAATTAAAAAATGATGCTCTCATTTTGACAAATTAACATAAAAATAAAGAACGTGATATTTTCAAAAACAAAAATAAGTTTAATGCTGATGAGAAAGGCTAACCTGAGCAGCATATGCGAAAGAAAAGAAGTTAAGGCTATTCCCGAGAACAAAGAAGAGAATACCTACATCATAAAAATGACATGTAAGCAATCTAACAATATTTTACAAAATACAATCAAATTTATTAATAAACATAAAAGGAGTAAAAAGAACTTTACCAACCCTCCAAGAATGAAAATAAATGATTGGTTTCAAAATAAGCTTGGTAGATCCATCATTGCTGGCTGCTGAAAGTCTTTCGCGCTGTAAGTATTCAAATATAAACCCTCAAAAAGTATAGTTAAAGTGGGAAAAGAAAAATACATGTTTACTGATTTATAACATATTGCAACAAACATCTAATGTAGTGTCACCTCAACATTGACAGTATTACATAGAGAAATTAAGTGTACGACACTTGGAAATTTAATGGTTCTGAACTCATCATCTATGATACCAAACACTGCACTCCCCATCCATACACATCCCCCACACAAACAACATATCCGTACACAAAACAGCTCCAACTCAGTACTCAATGCATTGATGATCATAAAATAATGTTAAAGCTTTCTGTTTGACAGAAACTATTTAACAAAATAGTTATAGTTCCATGGGTGAGAAGCACACTAATTGACACCTACCCCGCCCAAGACAAGGGATTGGATTATGGATATTTTTGGAAGTTTCCTTGTTTAACATCGTTCTTGTTAAAATCTGAAAGACTGCAAAACATAAATCAAATTTTTTTGAGCAACACTTGAAACAAAGAAAAAACTGAAGATAATCCACCAACTATTCGTATGTGTATCATTGATCCCAAATGACCTCTTAGGAACAAATTGAAAAAAATCTGAATAAAAATTGATCCAAGTACCTGAGGAAGCATTTAGAATCAATTTTGTGTGGCCCAAAAATTAATTTAGAGAAATGTAATACGCTAAGATTAAATTAGCCTCAAAACAATAGTCAAGGTACTATTTTGGGCTTTTCCCATTTAGAAACACATTGTGCATTGGGAGGAGCAAGTTTATGATTTGATCAAAATTTAACTTTGGTTTGCTTTATTGATTTTTATTTCATAGTATTGTGATTTTATTATTTTATTTTAGTATAAATGTGATTAAAGGTCTGTTTGGGGCAGCTGCAGCCTATCTAGATAAACTGCTTATCCCGATAAGCTGTTGATTAACAACTGATCTGGATAAGCGATATGACTGTTTGGTTTATGTGCTTATAAAACAGCTGATTCTGGATAAATGACCATTCTACCCCTGTTTTGGATAAACTGTTTAACTGTTTGGTTTGTGTGTTTTGAAAAGTGTTGATTTGCAGATTTTTTTTAACAAAAAAATTGACAGAGTTTTATTAAAGAACCACTCATTACACATCAACAAGCCACTTTATAGTAGAATTTTGTCTTAAAATAAGGTTGTAAGTCTGCTCCAAATAGGTCACATGCAAAATTCAATAAACCATATTCACCAAATAGAACTGCACAATAAAAGGCAAGCAACCTTGACATAGATGTTTGAATGCTAAAAGATTTAGCAATAAAGTTGAACCAATAGGAAAATTTACTTCCTTGGCCAAATGAGACAAATACATTTATTCTGGTGAAAATTATAAAAAAAATCACCATCCTCATGAAAAGCACACAATTTACCACACAAAAGAACTGGGAGTTTCACGTGCCACGGTTTTCGGGCATGTTGGACAGGGTTTTGCGTGCTAAGACGAGTTCCTGGAGCTCTATAATGCGAGCGTTAAAGAAGAAGACGAGCTTGTCAAGCGAAGTGGAAGAGGGCAACCGTGTAAAATGCGAAAGGAAACACCAGACCGCGGGGTTCGACCCACGGTCCGCATTTAATTAAAATGACAAACGAAGTTTTCCAAAACGCTCTCCGAAAGCTTTTTTCAAACAGTGAGGCGACATTTTCAAAACGCTGCCGCAACTAATAAGCTACCCCAAACTCACCCTAAATCATGACAACCTTTTTAGAGAAAGGGTTGAGTTCACTAATTATAGTGCTGATTTTGTTGTGTCACAGTTGGTATTGTTAGTTCATTGACATAACTGGTACTGTGGGATCCAAAAATTTCGACCGCTTCTAGGACCGCTTCTAGGAGCTCTGCATTTATGTTGATAGAGCTTTGGAGAATCAAATTTTGAGAAGACAGATTGGATTGTAGATAAGACACTACCTAGAGATTTTTTCCTCATTTTTGTGAGCACTTTTTGATCTGGGGTTCGAGATTTCCCATAAGCACAAAACCCTATGGTTAATTACCCTTCTAGATAACAGTATAACACTTTTGACTAAAACTAGTCATTAAGAATTGAATATTCAACATACAATAGCAGCAAACATGTAATATTTTAAATTGTGGAATTTATCACTTAAAGCTAAAAGCGGATGGTGGGGGAAGTGATGACGAAACTCAATCAAGATCCTATTGCTCCGTCGTCCCGAGTCTTCATGGTCCCTGATCTACTTGATCAGAGGAAGTAGTCCACCCAACCTGGCTGAAAGAAACTTGTCAGCAATCATGAGTTATGTCATCTAAGATATCCTCATAAATCTGGGTAGATATTTGTCTAAGGGGACAAATTTAAATTGATCTTAGCTAACAATGGACTTTATGTCAATCAATTATACCTTTGGTTCACAACCCCAAGGTTAGAAAGCTCTTAGGAAACTTACAGGCTACGATCGTGACCGTAATATGATGGTCTCATTTGACGACAATCACCTAGTCAGAATGTTCTGAAAGTAACCGCTATTTTATTGTGTCATTTGGTGACAAAACCATGTAGATAGAGAACTCGGTTCACCGTCTTTACCGGCAGGCTATTGTTTTGATTGTGAATATAGAGATACACTTAATATGAAATTAGTTTTTTATGAGCTGAATTCAATAAAAATTTGTCATCCTCAACAAACTGTTGCGAGGGATGGATGAGGTTTGCTTTAAGTCTTAAGTGATTTAATTTTAACTTAAGTATTATGGTTGATTACTTTAAAACTGTTGATTTAAAAGATTTAACCCCTCCGATTGAAATACCTAATCAGCAGTCAACACGACCATCATCGAAGAGTTAAACATTTAAAATATTTATATTTGAAAGGAACATTTAGTTTTGTTATTTTAAGCTTTTAAAGTATAGGTCATGTCGACTCTTATCATTATAGGTAGAAAGATCGGGCTAGATGATTTGAACTTGTAAATTCTTATATTTAGGATTTAGACGTTCATTTCGAAATTACTAAACTCGTCAACTCCAATACTTGTGAGAATAATTAGACTAGTTGAGTGAGACTTACAACTCTGCCCTCTTGACAAACGACCTAATTAACTGTCGCAACATTCTTAAACTTAATACTTAAGCATTCAATAAATTGATTGGAGCATATGCAAACTTTGTTTAATTTAATATATTTGACTATTTTAGACGACTTTGCATGTCTAAAGCTAATTTACATGATTTTAAAGCATGAATTGAAACATATGCAAGACTTGAATTTATATAAATTTGTCTTATTTGAATAAATATATCGATGCATGCAGATGTTCACTTTAAGCTTTGTAAAATACCATTTTCTGTTCGCTTGCATACATGTTGCGAATACGGTGGCGATTTTAAGGTTTCAAAAAGCTTCGTATTTGAATTATTTTTATTCTCCAAGGAGCTTAAGTTCGAAAAACTCAATCTTGAATTGATTTTCAAACCATAGGAGCCTAAGTCTGAAAAGCTCGATTTTGAAATATTTTAAGTTTTATGAGGTTAAATTTAAAAATTCAAATTTTAATATTTTTAAGCCTTAGGAGTTTATGTTTTAAAATCATAAAACTTTAAAATTTTTTAAACTTTAGGAGTCTAAATATTGAACGCACAACAGAGTCAATTTTTACAAACTATCATTATTTGAAGAGAGTTTCAAACATGCTTGAGGTATTGCAATCTTCATTTGATGCTCTCGTCATGTTCGATCGACTCGGCTTGTGGAATTTATGTGAGGGTCAACAGTTACAACATTTGGTTCTGTTGGATCCCTTCAAGCATGGTTATTTAGTGTTGGTTTCTTGCTATGTGGTTTCTTGTTGGACTTTAAGTGGCATGACCCTATGTAATGGGGCCTCAAATTCTTACTTTGAGACCTGCTTCCTAATGGGCCCAAGTTTTCAAATGATACATAACAGTTTTGCATTGCGATCATTGTTTAGTGTCTCCCTTATATTGTTAGTTTGTTATCAAGATTAGATTATCTTGCTGGTTAAGTTTCAAGGGGATCCTAATTCTCTAGTTTGATAGTATGACAATACCATTAGTTAGAGGTGGTGTGATTTTATCATCAGCATTTTGAAATCCAGGTTGGTTGTTAAAAAAGTTTGGCCACTCGATCATTAGTTATTCATCAAGATGTTATGGTTCAAAGCCCTTGGACTACCGATCAGAATCGTTGGTAAGCATAGATGAAAAAATCACAGGATTTTGATCAAGTTTACCTAAAATCTCAAAATTATTTCTTGTTAATTAATTTAAATCTAAACAATAAAACTGACTTGAAAATTATAAGAGTCACCTTAATCGAGTGTTCTCCTAGGAACAGATGTACTTAATTATAAGAGATTGTACCCATAAAAAGACTCTATCCAATAATTAAATAAACCCTAAAATAATATCAAAGAAAATCACATTCCCAATCTCTCAATTAGTGATTTTTCCTGTGTTATAATTCTCAGGTTTTAGTTTTATGATAACTCCACCAGTTTGTAGTGTTATGATAGTATGGTTTATTGTTAGGCCACAAAAATAGATTGTCATTTGCAATCTTTAACGTGCTTCTAGTATGGTTATAATTCTATGCCTTCCCATGGAAATTTATGTTTGAGACAGGAAGTCAAGAATTGCAAACTACTCAATTCAATTGTATGCTTGTTATTGTTTGGCATCGAATGATAGGATCGAATTTAATTTGAAATGACTTGTGATTTAAAATAAGGGATACATGAGCAATGTAAAAATATTCTTTTTATAATGAATTTCCTTGAATTATGTTTACTTTTTTATTTTGAATGTTGGTTGAGTTAGGAATTATAATAGGAAATGATTTATTCATGTAAAAAGTTATGAGGAATAAATTATTTACTTAGATTAAGGAGATATTTCCTTTCCTATTTTATATTTCTTTCCTTGGATTAGAAATTATTTGTTTTCTTATTTTATGTTATTTCATATATCTCATAATAATTAATATGAATTGATTCTTGAAGATATTAGGTGATATATATTTCCTTTCATATCATTTACTTTTTACTTTTTATTATTTTTCAGGATTCTTGTAAGGGTTATTTATACCCCCGTTCATATCAATAAAACAATCAAGTATTTCACTTTATTCCGCATTATTTTGAATTTCAACATGATATCAGAGTCAAAATTTTGCACTAACCACCAATAGCTATTGAAGGACCGTCAAGGCTCGCGGGAAGGGAGGAACTATTTGTTTTCCTTGATTCTCGCTGTCTGTTCGCCGTCTCATTATTTCTTCATTTGCGTCGAAGAAGAAGACTAACCGACATTCCCTTCTCCATTAATTCCATCCTTGCAGCCGAAACCCCCATATATCTTCTCTCTAGGCCAAAACACATGACAGACAAAACTCAAAATTTAGCCAAGCCTGAATTTTGAGTCTTCTTATAAGCACTACAGAAACTGCAGTCAAAAGACAAACACAGTTGTCTACTTGCCGAAACACATGATAGACAAAACTCAAAATTCAGCCAAACCTGAGTTTTGAGTCTTCCTACATGCACTGCAAAATTTGTTGTCAAAAGACAATCATGCAAACTCCTCTGCATCATTATATGTAGGAGCTTTCAGTCTACCTATAGACATTGCAGGAACTACAACCAAAGACAATTGCAGTGCAGGATAAAGATTTCAAGTTCTACTTCATAGGATCTTCCTAGTCCATTTTTTGATGTTTTAAAATTCAATTTGAACGTGGTTTTCAACTTTTATGTTATTTCCTATATCTCCTAATAATTAATATGAATTGATTATTGGAGATATTAGGTGATATATCTTTCCTTTCATATAATTTCCTTTTTATATTTTTCCTATTATAGAATTCTTATAAGGGTTATTTATACCCGCATTCATATCAATGAAACAATCAAGCATTCCACTTTATTCCGCATTATTTTAAATTTCAACAGGTTGGATGTAGGTCGCCTGGTGTAGTAAAAGTAGTTGACTCAATTTTCGGGGAAAAACTTATCTCCTTGTACCAGCATAAGTTCTGGATAATTATGCGATGATTTCTTTCCTTTCCAATATTTTTATTCTCTAAAATTAGTTATTGCTTTGTCCATGTGATTGATTAATTTCGACTCCAGCACAAATCCAGTTTTCAATTGCTATCTCAGTTGTTGGTTGACACAAGGTTTTACTGTTCCTAAATTTAAAATTCGGTGCTCACAAAATTGCTGTTTGGGATAGATTAGTGTTTTTTAATTTTTATCAAAAAATTGCTGTTTAGGATAGTGTTTTTTAATTTTTATCAAAAGATATTAATTATTGTCAAATCAAAAGTTTGAGAACAGCATTTTTAACCTCTGGTGCATGATTATATGCATCTTATCCTAGGTCAGCATTAGGAAAACCCTAAACCATAAATATCTTCCATCACATCTCCACCAAAGATGTTTCCTCTGATATTTATTCTATCACCTGTAACTCTTATTCAAAGGATCAAATAACCTATAATCTCAATTGAGATTAATTAAACTAGTTCAACAAATGAGAACAAAGAAAAACCTGATCATGCCCCAATTTAAGAAGGTTTGTCCCAAAATTTATTGCAATGCTCCCAACTATGTTGATTATCGCTCCAATAACCCACTGCCCCATGGATCACAGAAGTTGACAGCTCTTATGAAAAAATTGAAGGCGCTCTACTCATGACTTGGCTACTCATGTGACTCTTCTTCAGTCAGCTATAAGCCCAAGCACCGACTCATGAAGTTCCAAAGGTACCTACCAAACTAGAAAATATGTAAGTTATGCACTGCAAAAAAAATAAGAATGTGCAATCATAAAATAATTAGCTTAAGAAAACATCATTTTTCATTGCAATGACAAATGAATTAATTTTTTTAAATGACTGATATGCCTTTAAAAGCCATGTTAAATGAAGGTAGATGATACAAGAATTACATGAATGGAGAAATGTGATTTAAATTCATTACATCCTTCTAATGCTAAAAAAATATTTTAAAAGATTGCACCACAATAAATAAACAAAATTTTAAAAATATAATAACCAGTTCTCTAAAATAATTACGACTGATGAAATAATATATAATCCATTTCTCGGAGTCTCCATTATGAGAAAGTAACATCTAACAGTGCTGCATATAAAGCAAACAAGCAAATATTTTTCCACCAACAAACTCCCAGCTTTTCCCTCCATGTTCAAATATATCCTTTCTGGCACATTATCCAATATACATGCAATAAACATGCATAAACATGCAGGTGGCGCAAATTTTAGAAAACATCTTGAATTTTCTTACTCTAAATTGATTATTTCAAGGGTAAGAGAAAAAAAGCAGGTCAGCTACTTCGCTGCTTCATAGTTCACTTCCAATGAGAGATACTAGACATCTAAAACTTAAAGCAAGTTATCCCTAAGTGGTACTCACACTTAGAGCCTTCGAAAAAGATCCTTCCTGCTATCCCTTTTGCTTGTAGTAACAGAAAATATTGCCCAAATTGCTCAAGCGGGCCAACAATCACAATGAGTTGGAAGATTACAATTATAGTACCGTTGTTTTAAAAAAACTTTTGAAACCTAAGCCTCAAAACCCATTTTATTCGGAGGTGCTAACAAAAAGTTTTAAAATATACATTTTTCCTCCATTGCTAAAAGCCACGCCATAATTAATCAGGGCATAGATTCTAAATCTTGTCGAATTGCAACTATTATGGATTTTTAAAATATTTTAATTGGGTTTATATAAACCTTTAGGTTATGAGATTGTGGGCTTTACAAAATTCAATTAAAATTAAACAAAAAACTAAAAGACTAGTTTTAACCTAAGAGGTACGATCCCCACTCTCCCGATCATAGTTCCATGCAAAGCCTATGCAAAATTGCAACTCTTATGACTACTTATTCACAAGTTTGTCGTGGATGGCAATTTCATCGTTTGTTCATCGCCCTTCATTGATTTCATTTGTTAGCATTATAATCGACAATTGACAGTGGACGAGGTAAGCTTTCACTACTCTTCCATGTAAAGTGGTTTTGATACACAAGAATGAGAGAATGATTATTCCATAAAATTGTTTTTATTAGAATATTTTATTTGAAGATTTGTAATTGTTTATGGCTCTAAGAAGTTTTGATGTCTAAAAAAAAATTATGGAATGACTTAGAAGACTTAATACAAGTGATACCTCTTGAAGAAAGAATTTTTATGAATTTTTATTGGAGGATTTATTGGAGGAGATTTAAATGGACATGTCGGAAGAGTGGTAGAAAATTTCAGATATTCATGATGACTACAATTTTGGAGTGACTAATAAATAAAGTAGAGTTATTTTAAATTTTGATTTAGCGTAGGATTTTGTTATTATTAATATTTTATTTAAGAAAAGAGAAGAACATCTTATTACTTATAAGAATGGATCTAATAAAACACAATTTTATTATTTTCTTATGAAAAAAAGAGATCGTCGATATTGTAAAGATTGTAAGGCCATTTCAAGTGAGGAATTAAGTACCCAACATCATTGATTAGTTCTTGATTTTAAAATGAAGAGTTGTAAAATAAAGAATACTAGGACTCATCATCGTAAAATTAGATGGGGGAATCTAAAAGAAAAATAAAATTATTTTTATGAGTAAAATTCAAGATTTCAAAATTTGGGATGTTCATGATGAAACAAATGCTATGTGGGATAAAGTAATAAACACTATTAAAAAAATCGCAAAAGATGTACTTGGAGAATCAAAAGAAAAAGTTTCTTTAAATAAAAATAGTTGGTGATGCAATAATAATGTGCAAGAAAAGATAAAGTATAAAAAAGTTAAGTTATTAAAATTGGTTTAAAACCTTAGAGAACAGAGAAAAATATCAAACAACCGGCAGAAAGTTTAAAAGAACAATCAGTGATGCTAAAAATTCTGCTTTTAATAATTTTTATAATAAATTAGATACTAAGTAGAGTGAAAAATATATGTATAAACTAGCCAAACAAACAGAAAAGAAAAGTAAAGATTTAACTCAAGTAAAGTGTATTAAAGATGAAAATCAAAAAGAACTTTTCTTAGAAAAAGATATTCAAATATTCAACATTAGGTGGTGAGTTATTATGATAAGTTTTTTAATGAAGTTTCTGAAAATACAATCGACATTAGTGATCTTAATATTGTTAATAAAAATAAAACGTTTCATTTTTACCGTTGCATTAGTAAAAAAGAAGTTGATGATGCTTTAAGGAAAACCAAGGGTGGAAAGTCTGTTGGACTTGATGATATTCCAATTGAAGTATGGAAATATTTAGGAGATTTTGGAGTTTCTTGGCTTACTAAACTCTTTAATATTATTTAAAAAACTAAAAAGATGCCTGAGGAGTAAATAAAGAGTATTTTGGCCCCCATTTTTAAGAATAAAGGGGATGCACAAGAGTGTGCAAATTATAGAGGAATTAAGTTGATGGGTCATACTTACAAATTATGGGAGAGGGTAATTAAAAGTTTAAGACATATTACAAAAATTTCTCATAATCAATTTGGATTTATGTCGGGTAGGTCTATTATGGAAGCTATACATTTATTGAGAGGTTTGATGGAGAAGTTCAGAGATAATAAGGAGAATCTACATTTAATTTTTACCAATTTAGAATAAAGCTTACCATACGGTTCCAAGAGATATCTTTTGGAGAGTTCTTGAGAAGAAAGGTGTTGATATGACTTATAATCAAGTCAATAAAGATATGTATACTAGAGTTATTACTTGTGTCTGAACTGAACAGAAGTTGACCAAATATTTTCCTATCTCTGTTGGATTATATCAGGGATCGACTTTAAGCCCATATCTTTTTGATGTAGTAATGGAAGGTCTTACTGGACATTTACAAGAGGATGTACCTTGGTGTATGTTTTTTGCTGATGATATCCTTCTCGTGGATAAGACGAGAGAAAAAATCCAAGAAAAAATTGAATTATGGAGGCTACATTGGAGTCTTTGGCCTTCATTTGAGTAGAACTAAAACTGAATACATGGAATGCAATTTTAGTAGTAGTAGCTCTAGTGATAGAAGTGTAACTTTCGGTGATCAAATTATTAAAAGGTGTGAACGATTTAGATATCTCTGGTCTGTTGTTCAAAGTGATGGTGATATAGATGGGGATGTTAATAGTAGAATTCAATTTGATTGGTTGAACTGGAGGAATGCTTCGGGCCTTTTGTGTGATAGAAAAGTACCGCTTAGATTGAAAGGAAAATTTTATAAAACGGTAGTGAGACGTGCAATGCTCTATAGTGCTGAATGTTGGCCATTAAGAGAGAAGCATAATACTAAGTTAAGTGTTGTCGAGATGAGAATGATTAGGTGGATGAGTGGTTTTACACTTAGAGACAAAATGTGAAATAAATATATCTGTGATAGGGTTGGTGTAGCCCCTGTGACGGACAAAATTAGAGAACGTCGTATTAGATGATTTGGTCACATTAAGCGTCGACCATCTGATGATCCGATTAGGAGTAGATGTTTTAGATTTGACTTATGTTAAGAAAGGTATAGGTAGACGTAGGAAGACTTGGGTGTTTTGTATAAAAAAATGATCTTAATTTATTAGAACTAAATAAAAATATGACACTAAATTTGGACGCAATGGAGAAAAAGAATTCATGTAGCCGACCCCACGTAGTGGGATTAAGGCTTTGTTGTTGTTGTTGTATTTGTAATTATTTACTGAAGAAAGGTGAAGAAAGTATATTTTCTTATTTCTTAATCTTCAAATTAAAATATTTTCTCTTATTATATAGGGGATGGCTAGAACAAACACGAAGGGAAGAAATCCAACATAATAAGAAAAAAAAAATGAATAAAGCTGATGTAGGAAACGAAGAATTCCACACTCCTTCATAAGCTAAGTCACAAATGTTGTAAAGACAACTTGGTATTCAAACCAGTGAAGTTGTCTGGAGGTAGAGATTTAGTGAAGATTAAGTGAATTATGTAGATTTAGAGATTTTATAAAGATATTCAAATAAGCGACTTGAAAATGATTTGAAATGTAGCTTAAGTAAATAATGCCACCATTGACCATTTTAGAGATAAATTGTCTATCAATCTCAATGTGCTAGGCCCTATCATGAGATTGGATACTTTACAACACTAATAGCAATTTGGTTGTCATAGAATATCTTTATGGGGTTAATCATGGAGTATCCCATCACATTTAGTAACTTGGATCCACATGCCTTCATAAATTCCCAAAACAAGTGTCTGATACTCAGGTTATGCACCACTTCGAAAGACCACATTTGCTTCTTGCTCCACGTGACAAGATTTTCTCATACATAGGAAAAACCTATATGAAAAATCTTATGTTAGTGAATTCTTCTGCCTAACTAGCATCAGTGTAAATATCTACCTCCCTGTTGTCAAATTTCTTAAACAAAAACCCTCTGTTAGGGGTCTTCTTAAGAAACCACAATATTCTATAAACCATCTCTAAACGTTCTTCATTTGGACTATTCATATGTTGACTCATAATGCTAACATAATAAACAATATCAGGTTTAGTGTGTGATAGATAGATAAACTTTTTCACCAATCTCTAGTATCTATCTTATTCCACTAAATATAACTTTTGTTAAGATAAATAGGAATCTTAGCAGGTTCACACCCCAACATTCCCATCTTTTAATAGGTCTATGATATACTTTCTTCGAGATATCATGAGTTCCATCTTGGATTTGGTCAGTTCCATGACTAGAATATATATAACTCCTAGATCCTTAATTTC